CGGCCCCTCGCCCCTCGGCGGGGGTGTCTCCCAGCCCGCCCCGGGCTCGTCGCGGGCAACGCGCCGCCCGCCGTCTGTGCGCCCCGCGCCTGCCGCCCGCAGCGTCCTTCGTTCTCCGCTCTTGCGGGGCTCGCCGCCTTCCCCGCAGGCGCTCCTCCTGCGCCTCCCCGACTCCCGCCTTAGCTGGGGGGAAGTGAGGGATTTTTTTTTAAACACTTTTAAAACTGTCATTATTTGTTGTATTTCCAAACTGGAAACTGTATAAATTTACAACAGCAATAGGTTGGATAAAGTTATAAATGAACCACTGCTATATGTAAGACTGAACCTCACATTACTTCGTTTTGTTTTGATTTCCGTTTCTTGGATTTTTTTTCTATTTATGCAAATAATGCCATTAGGATTTTGATATGGATTGCATTAAATATTGGATCATTTTTAGTAGTATGAAAATTTCAACAATGTTAAGTCTTCCAAGCCACAATAAAATGTATTTCTATTTATTTGTCTCATTTCTTTTAGCTGGGAATGTTTTATAGTTCTTAGGGTACAAGTCTTTCACCTGCTTGGTTAAGTGTATTCCTAAGTATTTTATCCTTTCAGATGCTATAGTCAATTGGATTGTCCGCTTCAGATTTGGTTATTGTTAGTGTATGGAAACAGAATTTATTTTGAGTATTATTTTTAGACTGCAAGTTTGTGGGATTCATTTACTATTTTGTTGACTGTGCTCTTGGTTTGCTTTTCTAACAGCATATTGGTGGAATCTTTAGGGTCTTCTACTTACAAGATAATGTCATCTATGAACAGAGATAATTTTACTTGTTTCCCAATGTTTATGTCTTGTATTGCTTTTTCCTGTCTAGAACTCCTAGTACTGTGCTGAACAGCAGCGGTGAGCGTGGGCATGCTTACCTTGTTCCTGATCTCACAGGCAAGGCTTTCTGTCCTTCCCCTTTGGGTGTGATGTTTGTGGGCTTTTCATACATGGCTTTCATTACGTTGAGGTAATTACCTTCTATTCCTATTTTATTGGCTGTTTTTATCATGAAAGTGTATTACATTTTGTCAAATAGTTTTTCTGCATTGATTGAGACAGTCATACGGTTTTTGCCCTTCCTTTATTTTGTAAACGTGGTGTATTACATTGCCTGGTTTTCACGTTAAACCATCCGTGCATCCGAGGTAGAAATCCCACTTGCTCGTGGTGTATGATCCTTTTGATGTGCTATTGAATTTTATTTGCCAGTATTTTGCTTAAGATTTTCACATGCATATTCAGCAGGAGTGTTGGTTGGTAGTTTTCTTGTCTTGTCTTCATCTGGTTTTGGTGTGAAGGCAATGCTGGCCTTAGAGGAGGAGTTTGGGAGCGTTCCCTCCTCTTTGATTCTTTGGAAGAGCTTGAGAAGGACTGGTGTTAATTGTCTTTAAATCTTTGGTAGAATTTCCCAGGGAAGCCATGTGGTCCTCAGCTTTTATTTGTTGGAAGATGTTTTTTGCTTGGCGTGGGGTTTGTTGTTGTTGTTTTTATGCTCAATCTCCTCATTAGTTACAGGTCTGTTCAGATTTTTTTATTTCTTCATGGCTCAGTCTTGGTAGATTGCACATTTCTAGGAAATGATCCATGTATTCTGGGGTATCCAATTTGCTGGCATGTAATTGCTTTTAGCAATCTTTTACAATCCTTTTTATTCTGTGACATCAGTCATAATGTCTCCTCTTTCATTCTTAATTTTAGGTTTTTGAGCCCTCTTCCCTTTTTCTCAGTTTAGCTAAGAGTTTATCAGTTTTGTTGATCTTTCTCAGAAACCTTTCTTGGTTTTGTTGATTTTTTTCCTATTTTTTTTATTCTCTATTTCATTTATCACTGCTCTAATCTTTATTATTCTCTTCCTTCTGCTGACTTCACCCTCATGGTTTAAATAGGACTTATTTGTATGCCAAAAATTTAAAATACACTTACCTCCAACCAAGCCCATTCTCTGGAACTCCAGATGAGCATACCATATCCAACCAACTTCTGACTGTCTTCACAGGGACTCCCAATACCAAAATGTCTAAGACTGAACTTAGCCTTTTGCCCTTTAAAACGTGTTCCTTTCCCATATTCAAGGTGGTAATTACTTCTGCAGGACTTTCCCTGTGGCAGCCATGATTCTAAGTATATTACACCGATTTACTCATTTAATCCTTACCAGCATCTTTAGAAGTACATATTATCAATATCATCTTCACTTTACAGATGAAAAACTGAAGCACAGAGAGATTAGGTCACCTCCTCAAGGTCACACAGCTAGCAGTGGCAAAGTGAAGATTTGAATTCAGGCCCTGTTGCTCCAGAGGCAATGCTTTGAACCACTGTGCTGCCTCATTCTCGCACTGGTTACCCCATCACCAAGGTTGTATACCCAGGGACTGGCTTTATCATTTCTCCCCTTCATCTCTGCATCTAAGCAAATGCAGAGGATTTGTCATCCTTACATCCATCGCCTTCCTCTCAGGTACAGTACTCCATTTTTGCAGATCTACTCAATGACTCTTCAATAACTCCTCAACAAAGAGAGAGCAAAGGCATGATTTCTTCATGTGATCTGACTGCACGGCTCCTCCAGCTTCACCCCTTCCCATTCCCCACCCAGACAAGATGCTCTGGCAACACTCAGGTGCTCCTCATGCCCTTTGAACACAACATTGTGCTTTTCCTGCAGATTTTCTCCCATCTGTTTACCTGAAATGCCCTCCCCCTTTCCAAATACTTACCTCCGAATTCCTGTGCACTCTGTTAAGATTTAGGTCAGAGTTCCTTTTCCAGCAGGCCTTCCCCAATATCTCTACCACTGCTGTCCACCCAAGTTGGCTGGTTAGCTCAGCCCTCCATGGTTCCACAACTGTGGTCCCATCATTGACTTTTCCTGTTTCAATATTCATTCTGTCCATCCCTCTGCCCTTCCCACCAGAGCCATTTGCTCCTTGAGGGCTATGATGACACACAGTCATTGTGAGATTCTCTATCACCCAGTATACCGACGGAAAAAATCGTAAATTTAATGAATTTTTCATGTGTGAATAGACATAAAGAGAAACTGAAAATAAAATGCCAGGTGGTGTTTATTAGTAAATTAAATGTGCATACCTACAAGGGAAAGAATGGACACATCTTGCTGGGTTATTGAATAAGTATTAAACACCTGCTTTGCACCCAGCCCTGGTCACTTGCAGTGACTGACAACATGACAAACAGTTGAAACGTTTGAACTGAAAATAAGAGTATTCTGATTAAAGCCAGTGTATCAATTTGCAAGAGGGTTTCTGGAACCTGAATCAGTCTCCAGATGTCAGCCACCCCTTGGGAAGTGTCAAGACTCCTCTTGAGTCTCTAGAGCTGCAGGAAATACTAGAAAAGAAGAACCATCACATCCTTGTCTTCCCGGTCAGCATGGATGAGAAGTCCAGGGACTGTCTGCCCTGGTGCTTTTCTCAAGTGTCTCCTTGGCAGGTGTGCTCTGGACAGGACTTCCCTGAAGCTGATGTGGTGAAAACTCAGGTGCAAAGGTGGCTTTGGGACCAAAAATAAGCAAAGGAGACCAAAGCCAAATTAGATTTTTCAGCACGCTAATGACATAGCCTAGATTATGGGATAGCAGCTGAGTTCACCAAAGTGTCACTTTGAGGTGTGACCAAGAGCACAACCCTCAGCACTTAATGCTTTGGAGTATGTCTGCATGTGATAATTAAGTCATCCACTTAAACATTTCTTGAGACTCCACATAAGCCAGGCACCATGACACATTCTGGAGGTAAAAAGAAAAATAGGTTTTATACTCACGAAGTGTGTGATTTAGTGAGTGAGACAGCAGAAAAGACATACTTAAATAATGATACAGGGGCAGGTTACAGGAAGCAGGGGGCCCTGCCAGAGCAGAGGAGCCAAGACCCCCTGTGGAGGAGGGGGTGGTGGGAAGAACTCATTATCTGGAACAAT